TCTTATCTATCTTATCTTTTCAATCCTTTTAGTACTGATGATGCTACCTACTTGGGTAATGAAACGTCTGCAAGAAAACAAGCTCAGAGAGCACCAAGGACCCCATAGTCCTCCTCCTTGTCTTCTTCCCTCCTCCTCCTAGCACTGATGATACTACCTAGTTGGGTAATGAAACATCTGCAAGCAAACAACCAAGTTCAGAGAGCACCAAGGACCCCATAGCCATCCTCCTCCTCCTCCTCCTCCTCCTCTTCCTCCTCCTTCCACTGATGATGTTACCTAGTTGGGTAATGAAACGAGTGCAAGAAAAAAGCACCAAAGAATCCTCATTTCAACCACGAATATTCTCCTTTATCGGTACCTCTGTTATTCTTGCAATTATACTTCAGAAGATGCTCCAGGAAGTTGGCATTTTAACTTTGCTTTGCTTTTCTAAGGCTGACTCCTGAGTCTTCTCAAGCATTTGTGTGAATTCTGTACCCAGAAAACTTGAATTCCTCCCTTTCTATGTACACTGAAAACTGCAACATCCATGGACAAAACATCTGCAAAGCATCTTTTCTCTGACAGCTTCCTTTCTTTTCAGCGAAGGGAAATTGTGTCTTCAAGACCGGCTGGCCTTGGCTGACTATGACTCTGTTCCATTGTTTATTATTCCATTCCAGTCAGGAGATGCAAAACCTAAAATAGCATTGGCTCGCCTCAGTGGAGGAGGCTGGAAATAGTATTTCGTAATTATTGAAGTGAGTTTATTTTCCTGAGCAGTATTACTTCCCTTTATGGAATTGATTTCTATTGAGGGAATTCAATTATTCTGCTAAAAATCTATTGCATCATGGCTAAGTCATAATTTGGGAATGAATGAATGAATGAAATGAAATGATCTATGTTTCCTACATACATATACGCACACACACAAACACATATATACACACACAAACACACACTTTTGGCTTATTTATTAATTAACCATATTGCCCTGCCTATTTAATTTATATGCAGAGCACATCATGAGAAAGATAGGTCTAGATGGATCAAAAGTTGGAATTAAGATTGCCGGGAGAAATATCAACAACCTCAGATATGCAGATGATACCACTCTAATGGCAGAAAGCGAAGAGGAACTAAAGAGCTTCTTGATACAGGTGAAGAAGGAGAGGGCAAAAGTTGGCTTGAAACTCAACATTAAGAAAACTAAAATCATGGCATCTGGCCCTATCAATTTATGGGGAAGAAATGGAGGTAGTGACAGATTTTATTTCCCTGGATTCCAAGATCACCGCAAATGGGGACTGCAGCCAAGAAATTAAAAGATGCTTGCTCCTGGGGAGGAAAGCCATGGCAAATCTAGACACCATACTAAAAAGCAGAGACATCACCCTGCCAACAAAAGTGCGTATAGTCAAGGTGATGGTTATCCCAGTTGCAATGGATGGCTGTGAAAGTTGGACCATAAAGAAGGCTGAGCGTCAAAGAATTGAGACCTTTGAACTCTGGTCCTGGAGAAGACTCCTGCAAGTCCCTTGGACTGCAAGGCGATCCAACCGGTCAGTCCTAAAGGAGATCGACCCTGACTGCTCTTTAGAAGGCCAGATCCTGAAGAGGAAACTCAAATCCTTTGGATACCTAATGAGAAGGAAGGACTCCCTGGAGAAGAGCCTAATGCTGGGAACGACTGAGGGCAAAAGAAGAAGGGGATGGCAGAGAACGAGGTGGTTGGATGGAATCACTGAAGCAGTCGGCATGAGCTTAAATGGACTCCAGAGGATGGTAGAGGGCAGGAAGGCCTGGAGGAACATTGTCCATTGAGTTGCGATGAGTCGGACGATACGACTTCGCAACTAACAACAACAAAATACCCATCTATTTCACTGCTGATTCTGGGTGGCGAAGGACAATCAATTAAGAAAAAATAAACGCGAGGAGAGAAGTTCAAAGGCAATGTTAGAAAGTATTACTTCACAGAAAGAGCAGTGGAAACTTGAAGCCGGCTTCCAGTGTCAAATCTAATCTAATCCTCAAATCTCAAAGTTGGAAGTTGACTTTCCTTCCATATCTTGTAAGAAAACTAAACCGTGGTCTCAAATCCCAAGACATTTAGCCAAGATAAATGTCTCCACGCTGAGCCGTCAGTTTTGCCATCTCAGTTGAGAATACCATGCATACCATGAGGTATTCTACTCTGGAATTTTAATTTCAAAAAATGCCGGTTACTCAGCCCCTAGAGCTCAAATATTTAATTTCCAGGGCGGTTCTTGCACAAAACCACAACAAAAATTCTTCCTGGCCATAAAACATCTTCTGATGGATCTGTGGGCAGCTTCACTTCCTTAATAGCTTCCAAAGAATAATCTTCCACTTCTCCTCACATCCTATGTTGTGTAATCTGCCCAGAGTTACCTATTGGTAAGACGGGCGGCATATAAATTTAATCAATCAATCAATCTCTCTTTGCCAAACTGCACACCAAAACAACTAGACACAAGGGCAGTTTTTTCCCCGAATGCCATCACTCTGCTTAACAACTAATTCCCACAATACTGTCAAATAATTTACTAAGACTGTATTACTATTCTTCTTCTCTTCCTTACTAATATCTATCTCTTCCCACTTATTACTATAACCATGTTGCTTGTATCTTTCAATTTATATTGTTTTTATTTGTTTCCTAGTACGATTTGATAGCTTATTAGTAGCCTTGACTCTCACTAAGTGTTGTATCTTTTTATTCTTGATGAATGTATTTTATTCTCCTTATGTACACTGAGAGTATGTACACCAAAGACAAATTCCTTGTGTGTCCAATCACACTTGTCCAATAAAGAATTCTATTCTATTCTATTCTATTCTATTCTATTCTATTCTATTCTATTCTATTCTATTCTATTCTGTTCCGTTCCGTTCCGTTCCATTCCATTCCATTCCATTCCATATTCTATTCTATTCTATTCTATTCTATTCTATTCTATTCTATTCTATTCTATTCCATTCCATTCCATTCCATTCCATTCCATTCCATATTCTATTCTATTCTATTCTATTCTATTCTATTCTATTCTATTCTATTCTATTCTATTCTATTCTATTCTATTCTATTCTATTCCATTCCATTCCATTCCATTCCATTCTATTTTCCTGCAGTGATCCCAGATACATTCTTATAGAATAACATAGTTGGACGTCTTCTAATCCAACTCCCTGTTCAAGCAAGACACCCTATGCCATTCCGGACAAAATGTTTGTCCAATCTTTTCTTTTAAAACATCCAATGTTGGAGCATTCTGGAAGCAAGTCCTTCCACTGATTAATTGTTCTAAATTTCTCCTTAGTTCCAGGTTGCTTCTCTCCTTGATCAGTTTCCATCCCTTGCTTCTTTGTCCTGCCTTCAGGTGCTTTGGAAAATAGGTGCTTTGTGACAGCCTCTCAAATATTGGAAGTCTGCTATCATGTCACCCCTAGCCCTTCTTTTCACTAGTTAGTTAGTTTACTTTATTGTCATTGCACCTCGTACAACGAAATTAAATGCCATCTTCAGTGTACATTATAACTATAAAAAGGATAGCTGGATAGCTCTGCAGACAAAGGCACTGTAATTTAACATCAGCTGTCTGCAATTAAAGTAAGTTCGAATCTTGCCAGGCTCAAGGTTGACTCAGCCTTCCATCCTTTCTAAGGTAGCTAAATTGAGGACCCAGTTTGTGGGGGCAATAAGCTGACTTTGTATAAAATATACAAAAGTATGAAGGCTATTGCTTAACGCACTGTAAGCTGCCCTGAGTCTCCGGAGAAGGGCGGCATATAAATCAAATTAAAAAAAATAAAATAAAAAATAAAACACAACCACACATCCTTCACATTCTATGCAATTAAATTGAAAACCCCTGATATGGAATTAATATTGCACTACTATGCAGTAGAATTCAGTATAGTTACTGCCCTGGGATAGAAGCTGTTTTTCAGCCTATTTGTCCTTGTTTTTATTGTCCTGTACCGTCTTCCAGATGGTAATAGTTCCAAAAAAAAAGGGGTGTCCAGGATGAGATGGATCTTTAAGAATGTTTTGAACTTTCTTAAGGCAGCGGGAGCTATAAAGCTCTTCCAAGGAAGGGAGAGGTCATCCAATGATCCTCTGGGCAATGACGTTGACCCTCTGGAGCCCTGTCCTATCTGCCACTGCGCAGTTGGCAAACCATACGCAGGTGCAGTAAGTTAAAATACTCTCTATGGCAGGGATCTCCAACCTTGGGCAACTTTAAGACTTGTGGACTTCAATTCCCAGAATTCTAGGAGTTGAAGTCCACAAGTCTGTCCGAGGAATTCTGGGAGCCCACAAGTCTGGCTGAGGAGACTGAAGAGAAGAACTCTGGGCGTTGAAGTCCACAAGTCTTAAAAGTTGCCAAAGCTGGAGACCCTTGCTCTATGGTGCAGCAGTAGAAGGTCACCAGCAGTTTTTCATTCAGTTGTTTCCTGAGAAGTCTCAGGTAGTATAATCTCTACAACTGTTCTTCCTATGTTTGAGCCTCCAGTCCCCTAATCATCTTGCTTGCTCTTCTGTGCACTCTTTCTAGACTCTCGACATCTTTTTTACACCGTGGCGATCAGCCTTGGTAGTACAGGGGTTTAAGGCACCCTATTATTAAGCTGGTTATTAAGACCAGCTGCCTGCAATTACTGCAGGGTTCGAATCTCGCCAAGGCTCAAGGTTGACTCAGCCTTCCATCCTTTCTAAGGTAGGTGAAATGAGGACCCGGTTTGTGGGGGCAATAAGCTGACTTTGTATAAATATACAAAAGGATGAAGGCTATTGCTGAGCACATTGTAAGCCACCCTGAGTCTCCGGAGAAGGGCGGCATATAAATCAAATTTTAAAAAAAAATAATTGGATGCAATGTCCCAAGTGTATAAATAAAGCGGTACTAACATTACTGCCCTAAGGGTCCCCCCCCCCGTTAGAAACCAGAAGTCAAGGGACAGTGATGCACAGCAAAGGGTAAACTCACCAGAGTTGTTGCAAAGTGGATTCCCATGCTGTTTTTGGGCAGCGGGCATCCTTTCCATCGGGATCTGCAAAAGAGGAAGCAGAGACACGTGACAGGTTAAAAGCGAAAGGGGCCAGATGCTTCTCCAGACAAAATCTGTCTGCTCGGATCCTCGATATTTCTCTGGCCAAACAAAATCCAGACGTTGACTCATGCCAGCCCCCACCCAGACCTCATTACTGAATTGAAAAATCTTGAAGTTAGTTTTTCCCCCTCTCTTCCAGACAGACAGACAGATATGACAACATCAACAATTTGGGAAAGTAAACCAAAGGTCAAAGATGTTCAGGAAATGGAAAGGATCTGAGGCCCTTGTCTCGGGCTCTGAGGGGAGGTAGCAAGCTTGCCCATTGCTAGGATCCATTGAACTTGTTCTTTTCTCATTATTTGGAGTGTAAAAGAAAGCCATTTGTAGAACAGAATAGAATAGAAGGGAAGGGAAGGGAAAGGAAGGGTTCAAAGGGACCTTGGAGATCTTCTAGTCCAACCTCCTGCTCTGGCAGGAAACCCTACACCACTTCAGACAAATGGTTATCCAACATCTTCTTAAAAACTTCCAAGGTTGGAGCATTCACAACTTCTGAAGGCCAGTTGTTGCACTGGTTAATTGTTCTCACTGTCAGGAAATTTCTCCTTAGTTCTAGGTTGCTTCTCTCCTTGATTAATTTCCACCCATTGCTTCTTGTCCTGGCCTCAGGTGCTTTGGAGAATAGCTTGACTCCCTCTTCTTTGGGGCAGCCCCTGAGATATTGGAAGACTGCTATCCTGTCTCCCCTAGTCCTTTTTTTCATTAAACTAGACATACCCCAGTTTAGACATAGCAAAACTAAACTAGACATAGCAATGGAAGAGAGTATTTGTAGCTGAGGGTTGAAGGTCCTTGATGTTCTATGACAGGGATGGCTAACCTTTTCTGGACCGAATGCCCAAAGTGCAAGCATGCATGCAAATGCGCCCAAATCCCCAAAATGCAATGCACACGAGGCCCCCCCATGCGCCCTGCCCCCCCGGGCATGCGTGGCAGAGACCCGAAGATCAGCTGGCCAGCAGGAGGCACACACACATGCACAGTGGACCTGAACTTGGGTGACGACTCACATGCCATCAGAGAGGGCGCTGTGTGCCACCTCTGGCACACATGCCATAGGTTCGCCATCACAGCTCTATGAGCTTCGTAGTTTTCTTGAAGATGTTTCATTACCGAACTGAATAACATCATCAGTGGTAGTAGGAACATAGAGCAAAGTCTACTCCTTTCTAGCACTGATGATGTTACCTAGTTGGTTCATGAAACATCTGCAAGAAAACCACCAAGCTGAGAGAGCATCAAGGACCCCATCGTTCTCCTTCTCCTTCTTTCCTCCTCCCCTCCTTTCCTCCTCCACAAAACCCACTCCTTCTAGCACTGATGATGTTCCCTAGTTGGGTCATGCAAGAAACCCACCAAGCTCAGAGAACATCAAAGTCCTCCCGGGAAAAATAGCATGTTTCACTAATCTGAAGCAACTGAACTGTCAAGTAAAATATTTTGGATTAATTTCAGTGTTTATGGATCTAAAATAGACATTTTGGTCAAAGATTGCCGCTCGAACACTTTTATGTTTTATGGAGAGAAAAAAATATAATTCTGCTGTCCATATCCAGTAGACAGCAGAATCAACATTCTGTCCTACAGAAAGGAATCTCACTGTGGTTAAATTCTTTTGCATAGAGGGAATATCCGGGAACTATTATCTCCCAGCCTACGCAAACAAAGGGATTTGGGGTGTGGTGCTATAGAAAGAGTGAGGCTAAAATTTGTTTGGTATATAAGTCCAACTCACAGCAGAATGAACTAGAGTCCTGCTGAAGGGAATCAAATCTTCATCACTTCCAACATTCTGATCACCCCTATTCCTTAATACCGGATATGGGTCTCTGCGGATTTTACTTCGCTAGTCATTGGCAACTATAGGGAGCGCTGTTTCCTTCCCACCAAAGTGGTACCTATTTATCTGCTCACATTTGCATGCTTTCGAACTGCTAGGTTGGCAGGAGCTGGGACGAGGATGGGAGCTCACCCCATCGCATGGCACTCGGGTCTCGAACCTGGGCTTTTCCAGCTGACAAGCTCAGCGTCTTAACCGTTTGAGCCACCGCGCCACCAACATCAAAATCCACATGCCCATTTGTCCAAAGTTTTCTTCCCTTTGTGACAGCGGCTTCCATTTTTCCAGCTATTCTAAAGGAGCTGGAGCTGTCTCTATTGGTGTTTCAGAGGGTAATTGGCAACTCCAAATCTCAACCAACAAATGCTCTGTCTTGCACATTGGTGAAAAAAAATCAAAACACAAAATACAAGCTGGGCAGACATGACCTTGTAGACAACCCTCACTCTGTAAAGGACCTTGGAGTATTCATCTCAAACGATCTAAGTGCCAAAGCCCACTGTAACAGCATTGGCAAAAAAGCATTAAAAGTTGTTAACCTAATCTTGCGTAGCTTCTTCTCTGGTAATATTGTACTACTAATGAGAGCATACAAAACCTTTGCTAGACCAATTCTTGAATACAACTCATCTGTCTGGAACCCGCACTGCATATCGGACATTAATATAATTGAGAGAGTCCAGAGATATTTCACGAGAAGAGTCCTCCACTCCTCTACCTGCAATACAATACCTTATGCCATCAAACTTGAAATTTTGGGCTTAGACAACTTTGCCTCTGGAAAAAACTAGAAGCATTTGAAATGTGGATTTACAGACAGCTGTTACGTATAAGCTGGGTTGACAAAATCATAAATGATGAGGTGATAAGGTGGGAAAGCCAAGGAAAAATCATCAAAATCCTTAAAAAGTGAAAGTTAGAGTATTTTTGGACATGTGATGCGACACCCGGAAAAATACGGCATCCTTCACTTAATCTTCCAAGGAAAGAATGAATGCAAATGAGGTCCAGGCGGAAGAAGAACATCATGGCTTCAAAGTCAAAGGGACCGGTTTGGACAAAACTCAGAAGCAGTTTTTCATGTGGCTGCGGATAAAAATAGGTTCGCCGACATGATCGCCGATGCCCGATGACGGATACAGCAGAAGAAGAAGAAGAATACAATTTGTGGCTTAATGTTGCTTGCTTGGTTTGGGCTCTGTCCAGGGTGTCAATCCAATCATTATTTGTAAACTATGTTTTGTAGCTTAATGCCTCTATGTATTATTCAGTAATCTGTGGTTTAGTCTTCCATAATGCATAAACTGAGACAATGTCTAGAGACGGTGTCCCACGTCCTGGCAGACTTCATTTTTCAAATCATCCCCATTGTCTGGATTGATCCCTCAAAGTTCAGGAAATGCTAGCAGATCTCCTGGAATTATTGTCTGATGTAAGCTTGACATCTGCTGCTTGTAAATAATGATTTACAGTTAAACACGATCTACGAGGCCGCTTTGAGATGAACGGAGGAGCAACGTTTCACTGATTGCCTTGGAGTCAGCCTTTCAAATATAAAAAGGCTGAGTCACAAAGCAAAGCAACATCCTTGCGGTAGAAAAACGAGAAGGGCAGGCGGGGAAAAAAAAAAGAAAAGCAAAGTTCAGAATAACTTCCTGAGGGAAGTTAAAATAAATTAAAAGTTTGTGAGGGAGGTCTCGGGAGACTTGAATAATTATTCTGCTAAGTACTGTACACCACGCTAAAGGATGACAGTGGAGATTCTTATTCATCCAAGTCACAGTTGTGTCAAAGATGCTTTTTCGAGAGGCGACTGCACTTTTCTTGGTTTCGCCACCACGGCTCTTTCGAGAAGCATTTGGACAGCCATTTGTCTAGGATGGCATCAGGTCTCCTGCTTGAGCAGGGGCATGGACTAGAAGTCCTCCAAGGTCCCTTCCATGATCCTTTTGGGAATGCACATTATGAAAAACGTGCCAACGCTCAAACAAGAGTCTGAGATTGGAACTCATGAGGGTAAACTCCCTTTTATTGGAGGTTGGACAAACATTTGCAGGGGTGTCAAACCAGTGGTGAAATCAAAATTGTTTTACTACCGGTTCTGTGGGTGTGGCTTGATGGGCGTAGCATGGCTCAGTGGACGTGGCTTGGTGGGCATGGCAGGGAAAGGATACTGCAAAATCCCCATTCCCTCCCCACTCTGGGGCCTGCCAGAGGTGGTATTTGTTGGTTCTCCGAACTACTCAAAATTTCCGCTACCGGTTCTCCAGAACCTGTCAGAACCAGCTGGATTTCAGCCCTGTGTCAAACTCAATTTCATTGAGGGCCATATGAGGGCTGTGGCTGACCTTGGGGGGCTGGGTGGGCATGGCCAACTGGGTGGGTGTGGCTGGTTTGACGCCACTCTCCAAACTGCTGGCATGTTTCCTTTTTGCACTGGGTAGACCGGGCCAAAGCGATGCGGGCTGGCCCCTTACATTTTCCAGGATGGCCCTGTGGGCTGGATCCGATCACATCACGGGCCACATCCAGTGGTGGGATTCAGCCGGTTCTCTCCGGATCGTGTGAACCAGTAGCGGAAACTGCGGGAGGCTCCACCCACTCGCCCAGATGTAATGCGTGACTACTGCGCAGTGGTGGCATGTGTGCTCACATTTGCGAACCGGTAGGGAAGGGAAGGGAATCCCATGTCTGGCCGCATCTGCTCCGCGTGTCTTGTGTTTCACACCCCTGACGTTTGCGATCAAACAAATGATTCATGACTGTTCTGCCCCAGCTACGGACCCCAAAGAACACAGCACACCCAAAGTCTGTACAAAACTTAAATTTACTAAAATAACTCAGTCTTTTCCAAACAAAGGCTGTTAAGAAAGTTTCTTAACAGCCTACAAGAAACCAAAGATAAAGTAATCACAATCTTACTAAGGTTGGCAGAAAGCCCAGAAGCAATTTGCAGAGAATCCAGATGTGAAGGAGAATGAACTAAAGTTGTTCCCTACAATTTGCTTCAGTTGGCATTCTTCCTTAAATAGGCTAAGGGAGTGGCCAATTAGCCCCAAGCCTTATTCTCGAGGAGACCTCCTCCTGAGGCGCCACA